TTAAATACACATAAGCCAAATCCAACTCTAAGTCTTCCGTCTATTACTAGTTAAAAGTCCTTTTGAATTTAGTTCTTCTAGATTCTAGGCTCTAGTCCCCTTTTGGTTATATATATATATATATATATATATATATATATCCTAGTCAATTAGTTCATGATGTTGGTATGAAGCATATACCCTGTCCAGGAAAAGATTTTCACCATAGGGAATAGTGCTAGTTGAAACTCTTCCTGCAACATAATCATCATTCAAATAATTACTACAATGCATGAAACTAGAAAGAAACAACAGATTTCTTCATAATTGAATTTTAATGATTCAAAGAAATTTGGCTGACCTTATGAATCGATCTGTAGTCGATAATTGAACTACTCAGCTTTTTAAACATCTCCTACAATACCTCCAGCTCATTAACAGTAATTACATCATGATTTCATGCAAGTAAACATCACAAACAGCATTCAAAATTCTTATTAACTAATCATTTATTTCTTCTTCTTCTTTTTTTTTTCTTCCCAAAATTCCCAAAGCAAAAGGAAATAATTCACAATTCAAAGTTCTGCATATATAGTTTTCTTAATCTTTTGAATATTTTAAATAAATAAAAATGTATACATCTGGTTTTATCGGAGAGGACAGACATATCGTCGAATGCGAAACTGCGTTTGGTTGGGTGGGGATGGTCGCTGAAGCAATCGGTCATAGCAAAAATCAACACCTCTATGATCACTACAAACGATACAAATGCCGTGCAGATCCACTCGCCCGATGATAAAGAACTCGATCTCTGTCTCAATCCCCTGCTTAATTAATCAAAAAATCAAAAATTAAGCATAAACAATGAGAAATGAAAATTCGCCCATTTTAATTTTTACCGAGAAATCCATTGTTGTCTGCAACACGAGATTGGGCCTCGTTGACGGTGATGTTACGGCCGTCGAGGTTCTGGCCGTTAATGCCTTTGATCGCGTCCTTCATGGCCTTCTCATTGTTGAAAGTGACGAAGCCGAAGCCCCTGGACCTCTCGGTCTCACGGTCGTTGATGATCTTCGATTCGGTGGTGGAGGAAAGAGTCGGCCTCATGGATCAGGACCCGAGTCCACCTCCTGAGTTGTAAAACGACCTTGCCTGTGACTGAGATGCGAGAGATTAAGCTATGAGATCTGGAAATAGTTGCAAGATCTGTGAGAAAGCAAGTGAGAGATCTCACAAACCAGCTATGAGATTTTGAAGGAGCAATCATCGATTATCTTAATTAAGCCTCAGAGCTGGGTTTATTTTGGGCAAAAGGGCAAAACAATAATTCAACATTGCTATTAAATTTAAAAAATCGACAATTGTCAATTTTTGGGTTTATTTTGGGTGTGTTTATATACATTAAATAGTATATGGTATATTTATAGTTTTATGTCTAGAAATGGGTATTTTACTAATTTTCTATAAAAAAAATACATGTTCTCAACCTTGCACATGACCCTTGTTTAGAGAGTTATAAATCTTTTAATTCTCTTTTAATTCAATTTTTTAATAGAGTGAATACAAAAAGTAACAAAAAATAATACGTAGTATTAAACAAATGATGAATATATTCCTAAAATAAAGCAACATAAAATTATAAGGAGCTACTAAGAGTTATTTTTCTCTTCTCAGATTTAGAGGCTCTTAGGTCTAGTTTGGGATTGCTGTCACTTTTAAAAAAAGTTGCTTCTGCTGTGCTTTGAAAATAATTAGCTGTAAAGTAAAGCAGCTCCATGTTTGGTAAACAATATTTTTAAAGTGCTGTTAGTACAAAAAGCAGTGTAAAAGCGTTTGGTAAATTTTAATATAAAATTGTTGTAACTGTGAATAATGACTAAAATAGACATGATGTTAAAAGTGTTATAAATCATGTGGTGGTAGTTGTAGTGATGGAGTGGAGGTGATGGTAGTGATGAAGGTGGAGTTGGTGGTTGTGGGGATGGCGGTTGTGGAGGTGGTGGTGGTGGTGGCAGTGGCAGCATGGTTGGTGGTGGATTTGGAGGTTTTAGAGGAGG